CTGGAAACGATGATGCATACAATGGACTCCGGACTAGGTGCGTTTCTTTAAGTCTTCCTACCAACATGACAGAGTTGCGAAAACCAGGTCAAACAACTTCTATTCAACAAAGGAGACTGCGACCACACAAAAGGCCACACCATCTTGGTCTTTATACCTTCCACTCATATCATTGTGGGAAAATTCTACTGCCAGCCCTTCACACCTTAAACAAAATAGAGTGAATACATCTCACATTACTTATTTACTTGGTTTCTGTAAATTTCAATAAAAGCCCTCATCATTAACAATTTTTGTTTATAGATTTTTGGAATTATTTGTCTGGATAACCGTAGTAAAGATCGTGTTTTACTTGCATTACAATAAAAACTCGGTCATTTTCCAAAGTATTTTGACTCTTATTACTGCTTATTTTTGTCCCTTTCTATTCTATTTATTTTTGATTCTGCATTGCCTATAAGGCTATTCATCACACCATCGCTGTTCAGAGTCTGACGTATCGACTGGTCCTGGCGAAGCTTCTGGTTCTCTCGGTCAACCAGACTGCTCCGAAGGCCCACTTGAGGACACTCTAGCAAATATTGCAGGTCAAACAGCTATGCGTAAAAGACTAGCCCCTGTGTCCTCGACCTCTCAAGATGTGCTGGATGATACTTATCCCGGCCAGGACTTGAAGAAGATTCGGCATTGACTAATATCTGCTACAAACCTGACCGATTAAATATGTACATATCTGCTACTTTGTTAAATAAAACTTGTCTAAACTCGCTTGCACCTGGGGTATTATTAAGCTTCAATTCCTCGTATTATCCGGTAAAGGCCTCGTTTTTTACCGAGCAGTTAAAACATTTTTGTTGGCTTTACGTGCGCCTTCACCAATCTACGTATATTTCCTAGCGGACTCTTCGGCCATGTCGGTATTTTGCTTCTTTGTGGGTTAAAATGATTCTTAGTAATAAATCCCTTATATTTTTGTATATTTCGACTTTATCCATTTTGAAAGAAATGCCTAAACTTGGCTGATTATCACATACTAATTCACCTGTAATTATCTCTATACTTTTGAAAACTAATTTGGGGAGTGTTCCTGGTTTTATTCACGTCATTTTCGTATTATCCCGCTAGTTCTTTGGGAGATTTCCATCTCAGGATAATGCTTATACTGAAGAATTAAGTTAGCGACCTTATTGAGTGTCGTAAGTTCCATTTGCTTTTTTAAATATCTGTTGCTAGGTTTACTGTGATACAAACCTAGAGTATCAAGAATACGAAAAGAGTACGAACAAGGGTGACGAACAGATTCAATCTGACCATGAATTAGCGAAGATCTCCCTAATTATAAAAAGTACTTTGCATTTTTCTTCGGCCTAACAGATAGGTGCAAAATTGCCTGAACCGAGAGAATACTTATATAACTGGGGATTTCATTCAGGTACGGGTTGTCACAGCTCTTATTTTAATATACTTATTATATCGCATAAAAGATCAGGTGGGCACGGTCTCTATTTAAGCCACAGTTTATTTCTCTGCATAGAAGTGGTTTGACCTCGTTTTCACAACTTGGCCTTGTTTTCGGAGTGAACTAGATGAACACACTGTCCAGAGCCCTCTGCGATAGTAGTCATGCTAATTTCCACCGTCAGGTTGGTTCATTTCGATTTCTCACAGGCGTCAGCGATTCTCTCCATTCTTGCCATCAAGCTATAAGTCGACAGCGATAAATGACGTTTTTTGACTAAGTCTTCTGAATGATTTTGGTACGTGAACCAATTCCTTATCCTCGTATCTCACTCCATCTCCATCAACTTCTAAAATGTAGGCAGGAAGATTGATTGGGCTTCAATGAATCTCCTGAGACAATATTGTTGGGAAAACCTTTATTTTGTATTAAAGGGAATGAAGAAGGGATTCGTAGGTTGACCTCACCAGAAAACGAGGGCTGTGTCCGGTTGTGCTGAACTCACAAACACATTTGAGCAAAATTAGTAAGACTAATATAAAAGATAATTAGCCAAACCATTCTAATATTTATCTAGGTCTTCTAATTTTCTTTTGCTTAATTTAGTCTATATAAGAGGTAAGATAGAGCCCGATAGTCTTCTTGACCTAGTTTTAACGTGAGACTACATGAATGAGTTGCTATGATGATGCTTATCATATGTCGACGAAACTCAGCCCGTTTTAACCCAAAGCGAGGGAGGATATTTCGTGGACTGCGTCAGTCTAAACATCGTATTAAAGCCAAACGGCTGCAGTGCAACGGGATTCGGCCGTCGTATTTGGTGGGATAGACCTACGAATCTCTTCTACATGCACTTTCATACGAAATTAAGGTCTCATCAACAGCTTGTAACTTGTTTATACGGGCTATTTCAGAGGTGTGTCCTTTTGAGGCAGTTTAGTAAGACGCCATAACACCTCCGACCGGTTCACTTAGCCCCCCTAGTTTTCTGGAATTGCTGATCCGACTTGAACCTTTTAGACAGCAAACTACTATGTTAAACTCCTGCCCGAATCTTCATAGTGTTCTTGAAGATTCATTACTTATTTTCTCTTTTTGACTGATTTCACTCCAGTAATCATATACGTTTTACTCTAGGCGCTGTTTCTTATGGT